GAGCGTGACTGCTGATAATATGGTCCCGGGTTCCGACCCCCAGGTCAGACTAAAATCAGTTATTGGGCTTTCTGTCAAGAAATTCTCAGTAGCAGCCCGGAGGCAACGATACGAAGGCTCGTGCCTCTAAAAGCACGTAAAGCCGATGTTCCTGCGCCTTCTCAGACTATGCGAGGGAGGGAATGGATGTTGTACCTGAGCTCACACACAGACTCGAGCATTATTATCCTGTCTTACGCATATGCGATAACCGTTAAAGTTGAACGTTGAAATTTAAATTTGATATGGAGGATGATAAGTTACAAGTTACTACATTTTTTTCTTCTAAAATTGTATGCTGTTGGCCATGCGGCCTTTACAGCTTCATCGAAATAGGCTCGTAAGCGAGGACCTACAAGCTATTGAGTGCAACAATTCTGCCGGCGGCGAGAAGGCACGAAGCGCCGCTTCGCCTACTGCAGTAGCCACTTCTGCTTTGAAGAATAATACTGTCCATTTATACGTCATAAGTAATCTGTCAGCCAATCCGCAATAGTGCTTGGCGCTATAATGAATAGTAAATAAATAAAAATAAAATAATTTTAATTAGCTTATAATAATATGTAGCCCAAACATAAGTCAGTAAAAAATAAATGTGTTGGAAAGATTATTAACTAAAAACCGATAACCGATGAGGAAGAAAAACTGTTGGAAATTTATTGTAGTATGCAAGTGAAAATCATCGCCACTCGACGATATTTTGCATGATTTAATCGTGTGTCCTTTTTCGCTACTAGCTGTTCCCCGCGACTTCGTCCGCGTGGACTTTATTACGATTGGATTTCATGAATTTTTATTTTTTCGCACGGAACCCTGATTCTTTTTGTAAAATATAAATGACCTGAGTTATTCCTTATAACATTAACTATATGCCAGTGAAATTCCCGTCAAAATAGGTCCAGCCATTTCGGTTATTCAAAAATTTTTTACAATGATTTCTGACTGTTCGTTCACTCATACGTCCGTTTCTGTATTACATAATGTAAATCTTTGTTATTTGGATATCATAAAAGCGAGAGCGGTATATATATATATATATATATATATATATATATATATATATATATGTCAGGATCATACCAAATGGAAGTGTGTTGACTCTATCTACCCATCTAAGTGATAGGCGAGAGAGTTTATGTATGCTTATCACTGATAATAAAGAATGTATCAATACGATACGTAAAAATTACTTGTTATAACGTTTGCCGAGTGATCGCCACCACCAAATGCCCGCAATGCTTTAACATAGCGACAAGACGATTGGTTCGTAATTCTCATGATTTGTCAGCGTGCAAACACGCTATTCATGAGCGACTAAAAAATTAAACAATTCGTAATAAATTACGAACTGAAAAGCGAGGTATGAACGTGAACGAGCATTTATGTGAGGAACCATATTCTGTATGAAATGAACAATGTAACTGCAAAGAATGAATCAATGAACACTATCTGTTATGTGCAGGAATGTTGTATGAATACCATCGTCAAATTGCAGCTTAACACTGCTGTGTTTCGTATGGTGAGTGTAGAGAACCGGAGACCATTTTTACTGGAAACGAGGCATTCCATCTTAGTCCTCACGGGTCGCAACGCATCTGCATTTGATTCGCAAACGAGGATAAATGTAGATGTCTATGGGCCACAGCAACCACTTACCATCAGCTGGGCTGTGTGCTCGTTTGTCACCCTATACTATAAAAAAATGCACTGTTAAAATTTCCCAAGAACAGTGTAATATTATTACGGTTGGCGTTGAAACAGAATTATACGTAAAAATAAAATATTATTTTTGTAAACATGATCGTTTTATATCCCTATCTGATAAATGTTGTTTAGGTCCGATTTTCTTAGAGATAAACGCAGAATTCACGTTTTAAAAGAAAAAATAGAACTTCAATAAAAGCAAGCTTATTGTAGAAGAATCAAAATCTCTGCCCCTTTGAACGGAAAGAAAACAAACTAAGTATATTATATATATAAATGTTTTGGTGAAATGTTCAAGTTTTAGCGTCTAAATTAAATTATTCATATTTTTCAATATTATTTTCTGTTCCACATTCCAATTGGATCCATTGTCTATGGATTTTTTATTAATCCTTGACTCGATCGACTGGAAAATAATATTATGTCCAACAAATATACTTATATACCCCGATGAAACCTTTGTTGGGCAAAATCTGTAGTCAAAAGCAAAATTTTATATGTAAGCAATCCAATAAAATAATTCTAAGTAAATTTGAGTTTTGATTTTTTCATTGATTTGAGTATTAAGGCCGCAACACAAATGGGTCTGCTCGACTATATAGCGCATAGCCCTGTAAATAAAAGTAATATTTTCTTGAAGAGGCAATATTTTGTTCAATATTTATACGAGTATTTATGAATACAGCTGCATGGGCCACTCTATTGAGGTACTATCATAACAGCGTATTTGAAACGACGACGCTCTATGAAAATATGTAAACTCATCGAAGAACGTCCCTAACGAACGCCGGAATGTCGTGGAAGAGCGGGAAAATAAAACGTTCTACTAACAAGATGACTTTCAGTTTCGCGTTCTTAAACATTTGAATGTGCAGTTCATCGTTGTAATTGAAAAAAAAAATCACTTAACAGGTAAATATAGGGTTCATCGCGACGACTGTTGTTGTCGGGCGGTTGCTAATAAGATTTTTAAACGGCAACAAAGTATCCAATCAATGAAGCTTGAATAATGAAAACGCCACCTGCCAAGTTCCCAGGGCACCCTCCGGACCGAACACGCACTGCGTAACGTTCGACACGAGTAATAACAATTTGCTACATTGATATTGTTAGAAGATACGCACAATGAGACGGTATTCATTTGATTTAGATAATGTATTTGAACATTATTCAACAAAGCTGTTGATTTCCATATTATAGCAAACATGCTAAAATATAATATGGCAATCAAGATTTACGTATTAAGAAATTAGTACAATAACGTGTGCCAACAGCTATCTTCGAACCATCATCTTATCTTCTTAATGCTTCTTCTTCATCAGATCGTAAAATTACATTATGCGTATAATTTACTCCTGAATAATCAGAAGGCATATGATTATTTGTGAGTCAACATCATGAAATATCTGTCTGGAAGACAGCATAACATAGTAGTTGTTTGCTATAAATTAAGATTTCATTCAAATTCAACATATCAAACTTAATATAGACAAAATAACGTGGCCCTGGGGTTACGATAGCGATCTCGAGCTACCTGCTCCGTATAGCAAACTTAACACGTGTTTGCGAACTTAACAAAACAAAGACATTAATACTACTACCGTAAATCGGCGGTACTTGGAGCGATTTAACGAAGCGAGATAGGTGCGCACGCGACGGTCCGCTCATTAGTAGACACGCAACGTGACCATGGGGTGTTCTACACGCTACCAATACCTGTCCCTTATTGCCTTCATTAGGCTCAGTCGCCGACACGTAATAGCTTTCCACACGCTCCCAACACTCAACGATCCTACAACGGCGAATGAATTTGCAATTACTAACAGCATTTATGAATGCTTTCCGTTTTTAACCGCACAGTGTAGAAACGTCATAATATACCCGACTTTGTATTCTAACGTACATTTAGAAGAACAACATTACAAACCTTTTAGTGATGATTATTTTCTTGGACGCAGAAGTTAAAGAAATTACATTTGGCAAACCGAATCGGTTCAAAAGAAAGGGCTACTGAAATAATTGTCTACTTTAGCCTCAGAGAAATAGAATTACAATATAAATTAATTACGCTTTTAAAGCGTCCGTTATTCTTAATTAGTTTCTGCACCGCAGCGGAAGCTCCCGAGCCCGCCTCGCGTTCTCTTAATGAAGGGTAGTTTCAAATCAGTGCGTTTGATCAACTCTGTGCAGTCTTAATTACGGCACCCGTTCCGCGCGGGACAATCCGGTTATTTATGACTACATAAGCTTGATTATTCTTTAATGAATACTTGTTTTAAAACGTTTAATTAAGTTTTATGGCGACAGGGCCGCTCAGACGGCGTCCCGCCGCTCCGCTGGCCGCGAGCTAATTGGATCGGGTTGACGCACTCCTCGCTCCCGCACCTCAGCCCGCATAGCTCTCGCCCCGCTTCTAATTGTATGAAATTGCTAATTGGAAAATTTTATAAACGCGGCTGCCCGCAGGCCTACGTTACTTCGCTGCCTGCGTGAATGGCTATGAAGAAAAATTAGTTCAAAGGGTCAAACTGTTTGAAAATAATTTTTTTCTGCCCGTCAAAGGTGTAAATTTGTGTCTGCAAAGGCACAAATTTACACCTTTGTGTAGTTATCTGTAAAAATTATTTGTGTCTGATAAATGTATGATAATTTGTCGCAATTTCCGGCCGCTAAAATTTTCGTATTACGTGTGAAATCCGTCAGCAAGTCAGAAATGAGAATAAACCCATACTTAGTATTAGTAGCGACCCGTGTGTAAACTAATTACTTATTTTATAATACCTAACTTTAAGAAACGGCGGCCCACGTGCTACTGAAATGTCCGGAGGTCGCTACATACAGGGCTAAACATCTCGGCACGCCGGGATCACTCCCCGAAGTTGCATGCAACATCAAGGGCCTGTTGAGCTTCTTCGGAGAGATCTCATGGCTCGAATAATCACATTATTCCTGCCCACACGCAAAATACGCGCATAGACGTGGAGTTGCGGAAAACAGCCCGTCGTAAACTAAACTAAACTAAACTAAATACCTAACTCGAGTATAATTTTAAAATATCGCAAGCCTTATTTACAGCGTCTCTTCGTAACTCTACTTGCAACAATTGACCAGTCACAATTTCTTACTAATCGTTTTATTTTAAAAATTGGAAGAATCTTTCAAGCAAATAATTTCCTTGTCCACAGGGCGTGTAGTTGTGGTGGTCGGCGCGAGCGGTCCCCGCTCCAACCGTCAAGCTGGCAGCGAGCGCGTTGAGCATGAACCCGCACTATCACGGGTACGGGGAGCTCAGCTCGCCGCACCCGCCCTCACCAGAGGCCGCTTTCGCCGCCAACGGCCACGACTACCCGCACAACAACAACAACCCAGCACTAAAGGAATGCGCCGGTTGCGGCGGCAAAATCGTGGAAAGGTTCTTACTGCACGCACTCGACAGATACTGGCACCACGGTTGCTTGAAATGCACGTGCTGTGGACAGGCGCTCGCGGACATGGGTCGATCCTTTTATTTCAAAGGCGGAATGATATTGTGCAAAAACGATTATACGAGGTGAGTTGTATATTCATATTGTTTTATTTTGCAACTAGTTATACTGCATAATGTATTTATTTGCCTTTTATACAATAAACATTTCCATCAACTACAGCAACATGATGTACTAAATCTGTTGGGCTTTAAAATCTCTAAAGGTGTTATCCATGGTAATTTACAGTTTCAGTGGATTTTATTATGTAACTATTTTACTTTAAAATGTTTTCATAATATCTAGTTGCAATAAAATCTGTACAAATTGTGATTTCACAAAATCAGATTACAATCTTATATAAAAAATAATTAAACACATACATTTCTTATTTATACCGATGCAGCGACCAAAACGAGGTTTCGTTTCAACCTCGTTAAAAATTGTTAATTAGCGACCATTTCGACTCGGTATTCAGTTCGAATTTCGTTCGATCTCTGAGCTTGATTATCTATAAAAGGTAAGGTTTTTAGTTCGTCATCTAACGATGACAATAGCGTGTCTGTCAAACGTTACGAACACCCAAAAAAGTATACCGAGAAAGCCGCGGGCGCATTGTTATGAAAATGCCTCTAACCGTTGTATTTTCTACCTGAGAATGGGGCAAAAAGTACAGTTTTGCACGCGGCGACCGATCCACGGCGTCTCTCGGGCCGTCTAAATTGGATTCGTTAAAAAACGCTAAGGACTAATTTAGGACGTCGCCAGCGAAGTTTTTACTTCATTCTGCCACTAATTAACCGTTCCGTATAGCTGTACCTCCTACCTCGCCGGCGTATTCATTAAATCGCTTCACAACGCATTAGTACAAATGTAAAAAGACACGATAACACCACATAGAATAATATAATATGCCATTAAAGAGATTAATTAGGTTGCTTAAAAATATAAAGACAACTTTTAATTTCGACTTTGATGAAGGTTCCTCCTTAATTTCATTATGGCAGCTTAAGTTATAATGCTTGCATTCTTTGCTCAGAAATCGATAGGTCAGATGAGAAAGGATTTGAGATAATGTACATATATGTTTAAAGGTATATATATTGCGCTTTGTGACATTCTTTGAGGCAGGCGTATGTTCAATAGTGGACTTGTGAAGGACTGTAATGATGACATAAACATCAACTAATACTACTACTAATAAATACTACTTTTCCTTATATGAGTCCGTTTGGTTTAGTACCAATCTTTTACTTTCTTTTAATAAGCAGCATTGTTATGTATAATAACAGATTGTGAGTTGTTTTATCTTGATCCCTTACAGATGACAACAGGCCTGTGGCCTTCTTTGCTTGAAGTTGGTTTTGCCATATCAGGTGAACTATTCAGCTCGTTTATCACTAATACTACAAAAAAATTATGAATGTCGGGTTCATGCTATCGTAATATAGCAGCGTTATGCGGGTGTGTTTTGTATGGTGAGTGAAGAGAACCGGAAACACTGTTTACTGGTCACCGTCTGCATTTCGATTCTTAATCGAGGATAAAGATATCTATGAGCACGGGATCCACTCACCATCAGCTGTGTTAACTTGTATGTGTAAAGAACTTGCGCGAAATTAAATTTTAAACGAAGATTAAATAGAATTGTTTTATATCGTCCACTGGCGTACCAGTGACTACAAACCTTGCCTTACCGAAAATGCTGCGTGTTTACAAGATCGTTACTTATTTTAGTAGAGAATCATTCTCTCTCAACACTACACATAATACGAGTTTTCACTTATTAGGAACAGGTTCTACGAGTTACCCGAATATGGCATTGATACTTTAGCATGATCATCATTTGAGCTACATCTATTACATTCTTACTTCTTACTTTGCTCGTACTGTGGATACCCTTGCTACGTATTCTGTTACGCATAGAAACTGAGCATAGGCCTCCCCGCTACCTTCTAAGCGACTTTAAGTTTTCTCTAATTAATTTTTATTGATGTTTAATCTTATTCTTAACGCAATTCACACATCAGAATAAGTTTGTCTATCTATTCACTTACACACTTACGACGACTTATTAAATATTACGTATTCCACATAAGACTAAGCAGTCCTTAATCCTTCCAATTTTTCCTTTTATGTTCTACGAATCTGCTATTGATTGTAAGTAAACCACTAATTTGGAAGTTGAAAAATATATATCGGTATGGTTAAAATAACTAGAAGATGTATGTCACACATCAGTTAGACATACTTTGAAGAACATTCTTTTTGATATTAGTTTAAATTAAACACGATTATTGCAACGTATAAGCGTAACACTATTGAGGTCATTGAGCATAGTGCTTAGGTCCTCCAGCGATTCTGCCATAAGGACTATATCGTCGGCAAATCGAAGGTGAGTGATGTACTCGCCATTGATGTTGATACCGTATCCTTTCCAGTCCAGAAGCTTGAAAACGTCTTCCAATGCAGCGGTGAAGAGTTTCGGGGATATGACGTCACCCTGTCTTACACCTCTCTGCAATTGGATAGGTTTCGTACTCTGGTTCTGTACTCGGATAGCCATCGTAGCCCTACTGTACAAGCACTTCAACACTTCGATATACCGACAGTCAACTTGGCACCGCTGAAGGGACTGCAGCACCGCCCAAATTGACTATGCTCAATGACCTCAATAGTGTTTCCCAACGGATAGGTCTTAAGATGAACATGGACAAAACAAAGGTCATGTTTAATGTCCATGTCACACCTATGCCGGTAGTTGTTGGGAGCACTAAGCTCGAAGTTGTTGACGAGTATGTTTACCTGGGACAAATAGTCCGACTAGGTAAGTCCAACTTCGACCGAGAGGTCAATCGACGGATTCAACTCGGCTAGGCAGCGTTCGGGAAGCTACGACACATCTTCTCGTCAGACATACCTCAAAACCTTAAAACGAAGTTGTACAACCAGTGCGTGTTGCCAGTGATGACTTACGGAACTGAGACGTGGTCCTTCACTGCTGGCCGTATGAGGAAGCTCAAGGTCGCTCAGCGAGCTATGGAGAGGGCTATGCTCGGAGTTTCTCTGCGTGATAAACTTAGGAATGAGGATATCCGCAGTAGAACCAGAGTAACCGACATAGCCCAACGGATTAGTAAGCTGAAGTGGCAATGGGCCGGCCATATAGCTCGAAGAACCGACAACCGATGGGGAAGAAAGGTTCTCGAGTGGCAGCCTCGTACCGGTAGGCGAAGTGTAGGGCGTCCCCCCACGAGATGGAGTGACGACCTGGTAAGACATGCAGGAAGTCGATGGATGCAGGTGGCTCAGGACCGTGTTTTGTGGCATTCTTTGGGGGAGGCCTATGTTCAGCAGTGGACTTGTGAAGGGCTGTAATGATGATGATGATGATAAGCGTAACGCGTACCGAGTTGGCAATATACCCTACGATGGTTTCATCATCGTCATCATCATCATTACAGCTCTTCATAAGTCCACTGCTGAACATGGGCCTTCCCCAAGTAATGCCACGATGGTTTAATAAAATATAATTATAATCGACTTACACTTTAATATATTACCTAAGTTTGGCTGGCAATCTTGTCTTAAAACAGCTCCATAACAATGTACACAACATTGGTTATGGAGCTGTTATTCATAAAGTGGTGTTTTTTAAAGGAGTATTATTAGCTACTTATACCTAATTGTTCGATATTTAGGTATTAGTGATGAAATAATAATGTTTAGTAATCTTTATATATAAAAATTTCGTGTCACATTTTTTGTCCGCGATGAACTCCTAAACTACTAAACTGATTGCAATGAAATTTTGCACACTGTGTGCAGTTTGGTTCAACTTGAGAGATAGGGTAGTTTTTATCCCTATAAGTGACCCTCAATATTTTTTATTAAAAATTTTTATAGGACACAGGGTCGTCGGAGAGGTCAGAACGTCTGCCTGGCCAGCTAGTTGTTTAATAAATTCCGAAATCTCACATTTTAAAACTCAACACATACATACTCAGTATTTTACCTGTTGTTGACAATAGTTTTTAAAACTACGCTGATAACTAGGAAAACATAGTGTAACAGTTTCCCGCCAGGTGGATTGTTATCAGCTCCTTTGTTTTCAGTTTCCTTTTTTCTTTGTACAATTTTAACAAAAAGAAAGTAATTAATGTTAGAAAAATATAAATTGCACTGCAATTTATAGTTTTCTAATTTTACGTTGCTTAAAAATCTTAGACGGGATGATGCCATATTAAACTTGCAAGATTTTGAAGAAGACTTGCTTATATGATTTTCATCCAAAAAAAATTTTTTTGGCGTTTGTGGGAGAAAAACTATTATATATGCTAATAATGACTTAAGTTTTTTCTTCTTGTAACATTAATAACATAAAAATAATGAAACCAATCTTCCTATACTTTTAAAATATTATTGAGAAGACGATCGTGACTTTATAAGTACAAATAAATTCTAAGTGAACGTGTATTTCGTTATCATCATCATCAAAACAGCCTCTTTAAATAATTGAACTGTTCTTTTAAATGCGCTGCACATACGAGTAGACAGAAAAAGGAAAAAAGTCAAATTTGTGTATTACATTGGTATTGAACACGAGGCTATTGAAGTGGGGCTTGAGACCTGTTGTTGTCGTTATCGTGTCTCAATATATTAAAGATAACAAGGTGGTGACTCGCCAGTTATTAAATAGGCACTTACTAAATAGGACACTTTCTAAATATGCATCTCACATTGAAGTCTTATTTGACTTCAAGGCGTGTAACATTTGGCAAACGGCTAAGGGTGTAGAGAGGAGAATCCCCGAACTGCAGATCCCTATACATTCAGCATTCTCCCAGCGTTGTGACATTTTACACTTCTACCCTTTATATCATAAAGCGGTTTCCGTTAGGTCGCCCAACCAAGAAAAGCAGTAGGTGTATATGGAGGTAATAACAAGCTCCCAACAACAACAGCTCATGAGGTCGCTTGTACCGAACTTAGTCCTTTTTTCATTATTTTTATTTTGATATGTTTTAATGCCTACTTAAAAATAACTTTACAAGTGCAGACTGTTGTTTTAAAACAATTTAAAGTA